AATAAATAAGAACAAATCTAAAATGTCTTATAATATCATCTACTTTAAAAACCTTATTTATTAGTATAAAAAAATAATATATTATATAATTTATAATGCAAATAAATTAATAAATAAAATACAAGATTTGATTATCAATGTATAATTACTATTTATAATATTATAATAATTACGATTAAAATTTTAGTAGAAAACGCTTCCATAGCATATGATTAAAAACAAAAATAAAACCTCTTATAAATTTTAATGTTGTAACGTTAAAAAAAATCAAAAAATTATCCTAAAAAAGGGAAAATAAAGACATCAAAATTCAAAAAAAAAAAAAAGGTCTCTCAACAACACGCATAGCAGCTACAAAAAAATAAAATGATATGGTAACAAAACCTACCAATAAAGCCATTTTACTAATAAATATCAAAACTTTTATATAACAGATTTTTAATATGACACGCTAATTAATTGATTTAATTAAAAAAATCATGTTGACGGGTTGAGGCTCATTTAATATGATACGCTAAAGTTTATAAATTAAATAACTTAATTACAAATTTTAATAAAGCACAGTAAGGAGGGGGGAGGGGGGGGGGGGGAGAGAGACACCAAGGTTAGGAGGGGAAAGATAAATGTTAAGGTTGAGAGAGAGAGAGAGAGAACTAGGAAGGGATGTTGTCGCTCGTGTGGCCTTATTTCATTATTGAGATGTTATAGAAAGTTTATATTAGAAACTCGTTTTTTATGAGATCAGAAGGACTTATTATCCCACTTTGAAGAGATAAAGGATGCAAAGCTAGCATAAAAGCTTTGCTCTCGGTCATACCAAATGTACTTATTTAACACATGCTCATTGGTTGCGCATGTTTACTTGAGAATTGGTGGGGCCCACCAAACAATCTGGTGGACCTGGTACGGATGGGGCAGACCTGGCAATCCATGACATCAGCAGGTGATCGATGACATCAACATGGTGATTCAAGGTAGAGAATCGGCTGGATCTCAGTTTTTTTACAGATTCAGGGTGGCTCCACCAATACTCGATCCAGATCGGGCGAATCTGGATTTGTTCATCTTTATTTGAACCTTGATTGCTGAAAAGATGATAGAGAAGGATGGAGCCACAACATTGAACCTCTAAGCTCTGATACTCGAAAGAGGGGGGTGAATACTGTGCTCAACCACCAACAATCCGTTGAGATACCCTTATAAGGGCCAACATGTTATGGTTGTTGACCGATGCAACTTTTTCACAGGTTCATGAATGAAAATAGTGATGATTGACTATAAACCCTATCATAAACCTTTTAGAATATGAATTTTTATTAAAAAGTATATGCAAAAAGACTATTTGCTTTTTACAAATGGAGGTTATAATCATTATTGACCATTGGATATGAAATTTTATTGATCATTGGATGTGAATTTTGATGGTAGATGATATCTCATTGAAATTCCTCAAATGTTGTAAAGTATTTCAGTTTCTCGGATTTCACATCTAATGGGCGAGAATAATTGTGACCTCCTTGTACCAAAAACAAATTGTCATATAATATTCAATCTCTTTATGTTATATTCCTCATATTTTCTCCCAGGTACCAATTCTAAAATATTTAACCCATGTTTACTACATAAGGTACATGCACAATTGACAATCTATGAAAGAGAGGGAAGGTATTAGTCAATTTTTTCTTTTCTTGTAAGAATATTGAGGAGAATGGAGATCATTTATTTCTTCATTGCCCCTTCTCTTATCATATTTGGTGTTAGGCAATGCAAAATATGGGTGTTTTGTTTGGTGTACTCTAATTCTCATCAAAAGATCATGAATCATCTCAAACTTCTTGGAGTACCCAAAGTAGGTGGCATGATTTGCGATATATTTCTAGCGATTGTCATTTGGGAGCTGTGGTTAGAAAGGAATAGGAGGACCTTGGAAGGGGTTTAATTAGAGATATAAGGAATTAAAAATATAATTATGTTTAGAGCATGGAGCTGGTTTAGTATTACTAAAGAAGGATATGGTGTTTTAAAGGTGGACGTGGAACTAAATTGGGCTAACCTTATTTCTTTGAGGTACCTAAACCTTAGACCGAGGAGTAGATGGGAGCCACTAATAGTAGGGTGTTTCAAGTTGAATTTTGAGGGCTCGTCCTTGGGCAATCCATGTGTCGCAAGCTTGGGTGGTGTATGTAAAGACGGTGGGGGTAATATCCTCGTTTGCTATGCAGATCCATGTGGTGTTGTATTTGCCAACCATGCTAAAATTGCCACTCTTTTGCAGAGAGTTTTAATTTAGAGGGAGAGACACCTTGGCAACTTTTTGGTGATAAAAAGGGATTCGCTTAATGTGATTAATTGGTGCAATAAATAGTCTAGAGCAGAGTGGCATCTCAAATCTTTATGGTTGCAGGGTAATGAATTTTGATCATATTTATAGAAAGGCGAATGAAGTTGTAGACGGTTTGGCGAAGAGGGGTACATCTTTGGACGCTTTATTAGTTTTGTTTGTTCCGTTTTGAATCTTGCACTGTAATTCCATTCGATATATAAAAGTTAGCACTCTTGTAAAATCTACAAGGAGGTCACAACCATTCTCCTCTATCAAATTTCAAATCAAATGGATATAAGTATACTTGTGACTAAACTCAAAGCCCAACAAAAAATTTCTTGAAATTAGTGACACACCCCGACCCATCCAACGAGACATCTAATGGTTAGGATTAATTGTAACCTCTTTGGGAATTCACTATCTCTGGGAATGAGGCTCAGGCGTCGTTACTTAGGGGGCAGATGCCTCAACATAACTACTCACCCATCACTGCTACTATTAACATATCACCAAATAAAAAATAAAAAAATCACATTTCACTCCTCTCCATGTTTAACCTACAAAAAAGAGATGAGAAAATCACATTTCACTCCTTTCCATCTTAAATCTAAAAACAAAGAGCCGATCTGCTTGTTACCCATCATGCTTCAATCATTCGAAAATGCCAAACGGTTGAAGATATCTGAGAATCTTTTGAAGTGACAATGCCGCCTATTCATTCCCTTTCGGATGCAGTCGAGTGGCCATCGATCTCTGTCCTTCGTGTACAAATTATTAGCCATGGATAGGAGTGAAATTATTGACTTCGACTCAACTATGGGAAGGTAGCTCTTGTAAATTGTTGTCCAGTTTGAAAATAGAATGACCATATTCTCTCTCTCTTTCTCCATATTCCTTTGTGGGCTTTATGGGCCTGCCCCCGGGATAAAACGAGATGTGGTTTGGGCATATATTTTGAGCCATTTATACTTTGGACCCGGTTTTTATGTAGCTAAACTTGCATATGTAGAAATGCGGGCTTTTTAATAAATCTATTTTTGAGATGGATTTGAAGACTTAATTTTTAAGGACTTGTAATCTCTAGCATGGAGATCTTGAATATGAAAAATAAATAAATTTAAAAAACCAGAAATAATAATTCTAGTAAGAAAATATTTGGACCATTAGATTTCATTGTTTTTAGATAGAACACCTACTTGCATCTGTCTTAAAAATGAATGCTTTACAATTTCTAGACCGCATAGGTAGAAATGCGGTCCAGCCCGCATGAAACAATCTTCCTTATACTTTCGAGTATGGTTATGTTTTAATAAAATTCAAAGATTTGATGTTTTTCCATGGAGCATTTCTTTAGGTCCTTTAAAACCCGGATTGGTCACCCTTAGGGCCCATTTGGATCGCTGATCTACGATGGATCGGATTGATTCTCCATTATACAATCGGTCTCAAAATTTTAAAATTAAAAAATAAAAATAAACAACTAAAAAATAAAATGGATGGTAACCAAATGATTTTTATTATTTGGATCGTGAAGTTCCTCGGCAAACTTGTCCAATTTTTTTGATAGAATTAGGGAAATCTATCGAAATTGGATTGACTTTCAGTTCCAACTGAGAAGCTAGTCAATCTCCACAGATTCCTAACCCGGATAGTCAATTGGCGAGCAATCAACTGTTTGTTTTCCTTCCATCTACTTTGCAAGGCAAATCTCAACCTAAGAGTGTTTTTAATCCCTCAAAGTTTTTGGACATAACTTTTCCAACCAAGTCACCTACTTATTAAAAAAGTAACTTCAAACAAAACTATGTTTTGAAGAAATAATATTCTAAAATTGAATAAAGAATGTCAAACATTTTCATGGACAAACGTCATTTTCCTTTTTCTTCTTCCACAGGCTAATTTCATTAGTATTAGATTAACTATTTTTTTCAATTTGCTTCATGTCTTCCACCAAATTTGTCATTTATAAGTGATAATCATGCATATATTAGATGTGAACATTCTCATTGTATACAATCCCATATAATTAGGGATTGGATGTAATGAGACAGTTAAATTTTGATCCAAAGAGGTCAAAATTATTTATAACCATTTGATGTAAAATATGATAGTTTGGTTGTGTCACAAAGTTCGAAAAAAATTTATTTTGAAGTTTGTGCTTGGTCAATGAAATAAATGCAGCCATCTAAGTTCATATCCAATGGTCAAGATTAATTATAAGCACTTTGTACTAAAGATAAAGTTTTCTTTATTATATTACCTTGGTATTTTTTGAACGAGATGTCATAATTTTTTAATGGGATTGTCTACAAAAAAACCATTTATTTTTATACATAGAGGTTACAATCATTCCCGTCCTTTAAATTTCAAAATGGGTGGTTGTAAGAGTATCATTAAATAGACACAAAGTTCAAATTTTTTTTATGAAACTTCGTTAGTTACCTCAAGTCATCTAATTTGATATTTAATGAGTGAAAATTATTGCGGTCTCCATGGACAAAAGATAAACGGTCTCTTTATAAGCGATCCCTTTCTTATTAGTCTAAAAATTCATAATCCAATCTTTGCGAAAGGACCTCCTTTGCCTGAGGGGTCTACGTATCTAGTATTCTCCTGCTGGAGTACAAAATGCGTTCTTAGACTAAAATCCGCTCCCAGTCCATGTTCGTCACTTCGAGAAGCTGCATGGTAACGAGACTTCACTGTCACGGGTCCTCCGGCTAAAGATAGGAAACCCAAGCTCTGTCTCTTTTTCTCTGTCTCTCTCTCAAATATTGTCCCCCTCTCTTCGTGGTTTGATAGGTGAGAGAAATGCAGGCGGGTTCAGTTGCTCTTGTTCATGGTCTCATGTGCCCTGCTTTTCTCCCTCTTGGAGCTTTGCATAGGTATCGGAGCCTAACCGTTAATGCAGCTGTCTCCAAGACTCAAGTACGTATCAGTTCTATGATTTTTCGATGCTTTTTAATTCTCATTTTCCATTTTTTCTCTATCTACTGGAAGTGCATTGCAAGTTGATTCAGAGTTTAGACTGGTGCCTGCAGGTTTTTCTTTTGAGTTATTCTCGTGAATTTTGAGATATTTTTGGTGAATTCTGAGATGGGGATATCCGACAAATAATTATCATGGTAACCAACCACTGGAAATGTAGGTTGCGTGGATTGATTTACCAGAATTGAAAAACTCTTGTTATTTTGGAGTGCGGGAAAATGGGCACTGCACATTTATGGCTAAAGCTAAACCTGAATTAGTAAGGCCATGCTGGGAGAACGGACTGAAGAGAAGCTGTGAAGATGTAGTAGGATAGAGATTTGTCACTCACTATGTTTTATTGTGTGTTACGTAATGGAAAAACTTTATGCGTATGTGGAAACCATGAAAGGAGGACTGAACTTTGGGGATTTTAAATTCTGGTTCATCGCCAACAAGTGACTCGGAACCATCTGCTTCTTCTTTATATCTGGATTTGGTGGAACCCAGTTATTTGTCATGTGGCCCATGTTGATATAAGTAGAGATTATCCCAAATTCTCTACTTTGTGATCATTACACAACAGTGGGAGATAAACATATTCACCGAGATAGTTGCTGCATCATTCTTCATATAGTTTTGATCCTTGAAATGTCAAATGAGCTTAAACTCTATCCTCCATTAATTTTCACAAAAAAAATAATACCATGCTCCATTCAGAGAAATTGAAGCCCAGTACTAGGTCTTAAGATGTTTTCCTTGGACATAAATTGTTTTGCTGAGACGAGGTCCTTTGCAAGAAGAATTTGGAACCAACGAGTTTTGCTTCATGAACTCCAGTCACAGATCTCTTAAAAGCTCAAACTAAAGTTCGACATGAAAATGTCACTTATGCAATTTGGCCTTCTTAATAAAGTTTAGCTTGAAAACAAATAATGTTCTTAGAAGCTAGAAGAGGTTGGCAACATATATTTCCCTCCAAATCTTCATTGTTCAAAATTGCTCTAAACATAACTCTATCACAAAATCTCTATAAAACATTATGCTTATTGGTTATAGTTATTTTATTCAAAACCTTTGTTATCCCTAATTAATTATTCATCAACATGCATGCTTCATTAAAAACTTAACCAATATATAGTGTTTTTGATGCCCCAAACATGAGGAAATATAATGCACTTGTGAAGTAGCAGGATCATTTGAGTGTCCAACTTAGAGTATTTACAAGCCTAGTGGGTTTTCTACATTTAGCCTCAGGTTTCTTTTGATTAGTATCAATACCTAAACCAACTTTCTGAAATTATCAAGCATCATTGAATAATTTCTCATGGTTGAGGTTTATGCATTGTATCTGTTTTCTAATTATCAAACTATATAAAACAAGCACTTTTTAACTCACCATTGTACTAAACATTAAAAACCCCAAAAGTACAAAAGAGCATTCGGAACGATAGAACTCTGGGCTTTTGTGATCTGACAAACTGGCAAACTCTTCACTAGCATATAAATTATCATTTAGAAAATGTATGTGCTTCATGCCTTATGGTTAGTACTAAAAGAATGTGTCCAATAAATGCCTTTAGCTAGCATTTAAAAGAATGTTTCCCATATGCACCATGTACATAGCAATATAAGTGTCAGAAAGATGTACAGACTTGATGGCAGTCTAATCAGGTATATCAGTTCCACAGCTTGTTTGAGGTGATTGATTTTGTGCTTCATACATCGACTTTTGATCAGATAAGCATCTGTAGTAAGAGACAATTTTTATTTGTTCCATTATGCATCTTACTTTATCGATTAAGGACGCGGTTAGCATGCGGCCAAGCGCGCACAAATAGAAATGCTGGCATAATAGCACAAATAGAAATTCTGGCTTAATAAATATATTTTTTAAATATAATTTAATCCTAATTTTTAGAGAATATATAATCTTTAACATGGAGATCATGATTATAGAAAAAAAAAAAAAC